AAATGTCTAAGAGCTGCTGTGTTGATGGCTGGAGCCAAAGCCTGTGCACCATCTTGTTCTTCAGGATTAGTCTGTCCTGGCCTAACAGAAACCTCTCTCACCCTCTATCTCCTCTCTCTTGGGGCTGCATCTAGTGTTAAGTAGCATTCATTAAATCCTGACAACTTCAGTTGTGCTGATGCAAAAGATTGATGATATGGTACAATATAGAGTAATACAAGGAACACAGTGATTTTCCCTCCTGGCTAATGCTTTATAAATATCAGGAGAGCGAGCCACTGTTAACTTGTTAGATGCATCCCCATGTTTCTAACTCCTGGTTAACAAGTGTTGGTTTAAAGTATGTACCTGTTATTTAAATGCAAGGCTTCAAACACTAACTAACGTTTATGGAGTGCCCTTTCCTCTTTCTGTCTCTGGGAAAGAAATACGTATTTCTTTGCTAAGTAGTGGCCATTCAGGAAGTGAAATACCAACTTCTTGTACATTGAAGTTTTCAATCATATACTAGGAGACAGAGTTTAAGTTGTACCAACATGTTGTTGTTAGTCTCACTGTTGGAAATCAACAAGCAGCATAGCAAAATAATATTTTGTTTTATGATACAATCATATCAATTTCGATTGGATGATTACTGTATTTCAACTCTTTATTATCACTCCTCATAATAATTTGTTATAATGTATAGAAAAGTGATTCACAGTGCAAGTGCTGTTTTACCAGTTCAGTCCTTTTTGTTTTTTTCCCTCATCTTTCAAAATTATGACTAAACAGAAATTAACTTGCAACAGATATTTGTTCTATTCAGCTGCCTCAGCAGTTGAAGCAAAAATGCTTGATCATTGATTTGCACTTAGTGGGTAGGACTATTGGCAACAATGTCACTGCCCAAACACTGATGCCTGGCACAGATCAGCCTAACCTGTAAGCTTCTCACACGTAGCTAGCAATCCGGCAGAATGACATATTCTAAATGTAGTTCTGTCAGGAGGGCCTGCGCACAGGATGCATGTGGAAGCTGTGATTGTCCTTTATTGATATGGGATTGTTAACTGGGAATGTCTGAAATGTAGCATCAGCACATAGGCATGTATAGCTTCTCCTTTACTTAATACAACATGTAATATTTCTTTAACCTCGAGTCCCACCACTATTGTTTTACTTTTAAAGGGTCAGTTTACACAAAAAAACAAAACTACCTCCCCCAAGGGTATCTAGCCACGAAGCCATGATGTAGATTTGGTTTTATTTGCTGAGTTTTAAAGGTACATGCCGATGCTTTATTTCTGTTGCTCAAAAAAAAAATTAAATTAAATTAGGAAAATAAAAAGCATTGAATGACCAGATATGATGTCCTTGCTATCTATCTTGTTATTTATAATGTCCCACATACCTTGTACACTTTTTTCATTAACGACTATTTTCAATTGAGTGTATAAAATAGTGACGACTGTTGATAATGAAGTCTGTGAACTTTTTATGATAAAAACGGACATCCTATCTGGAAAAAGACATTGCTTTGGAGTTCACATTTTTCAGTGCTTCAAGTAACATTTTATTCCACTTGATTGAATTAGGGTGATCGTAGTAATTAAGTCTCAGCAGTCACTATCTGCCTGGTATGATACCACTAGGGGTTAAGTAGTTATTTGTTTTTTGTGACTGGGGTGAACGGGCCCTTTAATTGTTGAATTAACATTTCTACTGGAAGCTGTTTTAAAATGTCTCACCAAACCTGCATGGCATCTTCTCTCAGGTAACCTGCACTGTGGAGTTTCTGTGTGTAGTTTGTCTAGAAGTTGATATGATACATCTACAGTGTTAACAAACGTATTCATCACTATTTGTTTTTTGAATTGAAAGAGAACTTTAGTCTTACTGCTGAAGCATTTAGAGTTTAGGGTATATTGCGGAACATTAAATATATTCTTGTAAAAAAAAAAAACAGGCACACTGTGATCATACATCGTACATTAATATAAATATTTTTTTTAATTGAAAGCTGGCATTGTTTTGTCTCATGCTACCAATAGGACAGGGGACATAATCTGACATTTGTATTTAGTTTACAGACTGCAAAGCAAAGTACATGGGGTCACAAGGTTTCTGTAGGATACCTTTTAATATATTAAATCAGACTGTCTTATGAGTTATACTCGTCTGAGCTATCCTCTTTTTTTGCCAGGTGGACGAACTGGAGGAGGCAGACAGCCAAAGGAAAACTGAAGAGGAGGTGACAGAGCCTCAGCCCATAGTGTTCGGTAAGTTAACCAGAGGGTTGAGATTTCTAAATAGGAGAAAATGGCCTGCAGTTTTTTTCGGAATAAGCCCAACTGTCTGTAAAAGACTTGGTGGAAAATGGCTGTTGGATTTGAAATGTAACACTACCCAAACATATACTGATTGGATGAAGGTGAAGGAACTGAAACTTTAAGCACATAGCCAAAAACGATATCGTCGTCGTTGTTGTCAAACTTTGACCATTTTGTGCACATTTAATTAAAACCAGACAGACAGAGGAGATCTGTCATTTAACTAAACAACCTTTTGTCAAATTAGTTTACGCCCAAAAGAAAACAAAATTATTCAAATTATTTCATTTGAAGTTTGCCCTAGGCAAGTTTACTGATAACAAAGACACCTGTTTGTATTTAAACCATCAGCAAATTCAGTATGGGCTTTTATCCTATGATATTTTTCTTCATGAAAACAATTTAAGCACATCATCTGGGAAAATCAGGACAAGGGCATGGCTTGTGCCCAAAAATAGATTTGTTAGTAAATCATAATTTTTGGGATTATTTTCCACATAATGACCATGTTACAAACAAAGAAAAACCTAATGACAAAGATATCAGTATTGGTAACAAAATTACTAAAAAACTCTTTGACAAATGATATCTAAAGCAACATGCATACACTTGTCCAAAAGTTGAGATCTCGTCAATTAGCATGTAACCCTGTGTGTGTGTGTGTGTGTGTGTGTGTGTGTGTGTGTGTTTGTGATCAGGCCAGCAGCTGATGTTGCCTGCCTCTCCTGCTCCGGTGGCTGCCCAGCCGCCGTACCCAGGCTACGGTTACCCAGCTGCCCCGGCGGGCTTCCCTGCTCAACCTGCCTACGGCTACAACATGTAGAGGCTTGACCCCGCCTCGTCCACCCCTCTCCCCTGCACATACTCGCACACCTTGGACCTAAACCACACTGAACCGTGCTGCTCTGGGTCTCAATTGGCAGCACGGAGACCCCTGAAACTGACCTGGTCCTTCATTCCCAATGAGACTGAAACTGCAATATAAATCCATCATCTCTACTTCTCCACACATACTGCAGAACGACCCCCTCTTACAAGATTGCTGTACCCTCCCCCCCTTTCTTTTTTCCACATGGACAGTATAATTGCATCCCTGATCTACACAGCATGAAGTCACCTCTCAGCTTCTAGAGGAATTAACACACCGAAGAAAATACGAGTCACACTAAACCACCCTGACCTGTTGCTGTTCCATATAGACTTTATTAACAATAGAGCTACTTTATTTTCAAAAAGATTCAGCACTGATGAGGAAGAGACTTGTTACCGAGGAGAGGAGGGGGCTTGGGTGTGTCTCCCTGGTCCCTTCTAAAGCACTGCTACGGCCTTATTTACTTTGAGGAGGCGGCAAAAAAACTGGCTCATTTGTTCATGTTCAATTTCACAACTGTCTCATGCTCTGGTTAGACAGATGGTTACTGTGCAATAGTTTTGTTTGTCTTCTCACAACAGTTACACAAGTGTTTGCTGTATATGGACTGAGAACACTTGTTTATGAGGTTATGGTACTGTCTGTGGATGTGTGTGTGTGTGAGTGTGTGTGTAGCCTCTAAAGCTTTTGAGGGATACGTCAACAAACCAAGAGACACTCAATGAAATGTCCATCACCTGCAAACCTTTCAGAGCTGTTGATTGCGTCCATCGACTTTTTGGACTGCGGACATCTGGATTTCCAGTATGCTTGTGACAACAAGAAAGAGGAAAGAAAGAAGGTGAAATAATAATAAAAAAAATGCTATATGCTGTAGTCTGTGCATGTGCTGCCAAACTATAATGCTGCAACCAGGAGCACAATTTTCATGTTGCATATATCAAGTATTACTAATGTTGTGTGTGACGTTATATGAAACTTTCTCACCCGACTAACAGAAAACGGTGATGAAGCTCCTACAGACTCGAGTAAATTAAAACGCTGGATCATTAGCTCACATCCTGGTGCCAGTTGATTCACAAAAATAATCATTATTGTACTGAAAACTGTATAATTTAAGCTATATTGAAATACCTAACTAATCAAAGAAGTCGGATATTATGGAATACCGTATGTATTGTCTATAGTGTGTTGTTGTAGTCTCAAAAAGCATAATGATTTTTGTAAGAAAATGACAAAATGCAAAAACAGCAGGTTAATAAATGGCAAAGTCTTGAGGCAAGGCTGCTCAAAGTGACAGTTTAGTTGATTGTTTACTTCCACTGCTTTCCGACAGTCCCTGTAGGATACACTGAGGTCTGTCCCTCCGTGGTGTCAACTTTGGATTTGTCAAAGCAAAAGCTGCACACGACTGACTCCCTTTATCTGCACAAGTCGAGCATACAGAAAGAGGAATAAAGTTTACACACAGTAGTGTTGGTGCATTTTTTTAATTCCTTCACATCTTAGGAAATATTAACAAGCTCTCTGTTGTTTTCAATGTCTATGTTTTGTGTTTCTGGAGGTGTGAACAGCTGGGAACATTTATGCCATGGTTTCTTTTGCTGCACCCTTTTTCCATCCCTTGCTACACTGACATTTTGGTTACCAAGCTGCCAAGACCCGATTCATGGTTTCTGTGTCTCTTTGTTCGGAGGGGGTGTGGCCGGGCTGTCTCGACCTATCACTGGCTGCTGTTGGGAAAACACGGAAGGTTTTCGTAGTAAAATATGTAATAACAGGGGAAACCGATTTTATTCTCCCTATCTGAGCTGCATTTAAATGGTAATGCAAACCCTGAGAGGCTGCGCCCCGCCCTTTTTCTGTGGTGGAATAAAGGTGGCCAGTCTCCTCTCACTCCGTGACCCCTGTCAGTCGCACTACAGGCTTGGTGGTTGTTGAAATGCACTTTTGTACACGCGGCAGATACGGAGAAACTGCTCCGGCCGCGCCTCCTTGCTTCCGGGTTGCTTTGCTCTCACCTACGCGCTTCAGTCGTGATACAGCGTTAGTTACCATGGCCACACATCGCAGATATTGGCTATAGAAGATCCCAACTTCCTCGATAGTCCCGGGTTCCGCCCACTGTCAGCAGATCAGCTGGAAGCTCCGCGCGTCACCGGCATCAGAAGCGCACCAGACAGCATCCGTCCATGTGTTGCGCGCTCCAGCCTACTTGGGAAAACAAACTGCAAGCTACCTAATAGATTAAAAACATCACAAGACTAGATTTCTAGATATTACTGTTCATTTTCCCGTCATCATGCAGGGTAGAGGCACATTTATCAGCCCTTTCCCCAGACCCCGGTGTTTGGCGGCCGCGGCTCCGGCGGGGAAAGCTAAACTGACCCACCCGGGGAAAGCCATACTGGCAGGTAAGTTAATTAATTGTCAAGCGGAAAAGTCAGAGTTGGACAAAATGTCACTGGTTAGAATGCTGGGTGATTATAACTTTATTGTAATTATTGTTGAATATGGTCATAATCTGTGAAATTATGTTGCAACAATAATGCATATACTGGAAATATCTATAAAGGCAAAACAGGTAACCATTCAAACTGGACTGACTTAATGGTAACTTCATGTAGTCACACCCAAAGAAAGTCATGTAAAGTCAACCATTTTTTTACATTTTGCACAAACAGTTTTTCATTTGTAAAATTATAAACGTGATGTTAGTTATTTGTTACGACTGTGCAGACGTTTTGTTTTTTTCCATTTCGTTTTATCTCGAGTCTGTTTGGCTGCACGGATCACATCCAAGGCGTTTCTCTTCCTTAATGACACGTTTCACTTTAGTTAGTGGAGCTGCACAGAGGAAGTATGTGAGAGCTGCAAAACATGTTTCTCAAGATAAACGATGAGCTGTAAAACGAGGTATTTCAACAGTGTTACTAGATCGTCCACCAATTCCTGATTCTGACCCCCCTGACCCGTGAAATTATTTTTAAGAGCTTATTGCCCCAAGAAAAACAAGAGTTTTCTTACTGACAGTGCCAGAGGCAGATCTTACCTGCAGCACTGATGTGATTGTATCCATCTAATCTACAGATCACCTCCAGTGCACTTTACGTAATGGTATTAGAGTGGTTTGATGCATGCAGCAGTGTAGGGGACACTTTCTCCTGAGACAAGCACTAGAACCATTTAAACAATGAAGGTGAGCGAGAGGACAGACCTTTAATGTTAAGCATTTCTCTTGATCATATGATTTCAGACATCAACCAAATTAATCTCTACCATAACTGATCGCAATCAATTTTTCTGGTGTACATAATGTTATGATCTAAAAGTCCCTGAGCAGCTAATAAATGGACCTCGTAGTTGGATTACTTTCTCAAATATAAATGATGTGCTGTAGTCTCTGTGTCAGTACCAGAAAATTCTGCAACTGGAAAAACAATATTTTCATCACAATCATTTAAATAGAATATAATGGGTTAACTCTATAGTCAATAAAATGTCCAAAAATATTGATATGACGTACCCAGAGAGTGACCAGACTTTCTTAGTTTGACAGTTTAAAAACAACCCACATAAATAATTTGTTATTGTACATAATATGAAACAGAATAATAAAACAATCTATGAACTGAAGCTGCACATTCAACTAATATTAAGTAAAACATTTTAACAAATCTATGAATTGACTTTTTGGTTTAGCACCACTTCAGCTGCTTGTTTTAGACATACCTGTGATTAATCAGTTTATCCCCGCTGAGGTTCAGACTCTCCTCTCCTGCTGCTCCCCCCTCTTGTGTTGATGATCGGGTGCAGCAGATCCGTTGATGAAGCGCAGAGATGCTGCTGTATTAAGGCCACATGCTGATATTTGGCTGCACTCTGTTGATTTCAGTCTTGTTTTCTGGCACCAGATACATCCTGAATATTTTATTGTTTTGAATTAATTACTTTTGATTGAAGATTGAAAAAAACAATTTAAAGCTGCAACTTACAGTTATTTTAGTTTTCTGCTGTTACTGTTGTCAATTGAATTGTTGGAACCAAAAGTCAGAAAAAAGTCAAAATGCCTGCATGAGTCCTCTGAACCGAAAGGGACATCTTTAAATTACTTGTTTCACCTGGCCAAGTGTACAAACAATTCAACATAATATATATGAGAAACAAAAGCATCACATCTTGAGAAGTCTAAACCAGCCAATGTTTAGTATTATTTGCTTGAAAATACTAATAATTGATTTATCAATCATCAATTATTCCTTTAAACTCTAAAGTGTTTGCATACATGCTCAGTGTAGTCATATGTTAACAGTAACATACATGCTGCTCTGTCAGCTGCTGTAAATGGGAAACATTTGCAATGCCCGATTCAATTTAGATTTAGATTCATGTTTACATGATGTGGCACACAAGTAACATATACCGCATCATACACAATGACAAAAAATAAAGAATAACAAATACATTTGACATTACAGACCGTCTAAATTTCCATCAAAACCTATATCCACATATGCTTTTTACCTTCCTATTCATATGATAGGTACTTTAATTCAAAATAAAGATCATGCTCTAATGTATTTTGGAACTCGTTACTGTACGCACCAATCTGCCCTGTCAACAAGGTGTATCCAAAGAGATTCAAAGAGGATTAAAACATATAAAAACAACTGTTGCATAAATTATTTATGTGTTACATGGTAGAGACGAAGAGAAAAAAGTCCCTCGACAGTCCCTATACTCGTTTCGTCCTGTCAGCCACAGAGGAATGGAAATGTGGCCGTGGAGAGACCTTTCCCCTCCCCCCCAGCCCCGTGGAGCCTGATTGACTGGAAATGGCCCAGTGTTGCTCCCGGTGTCGTTCAGCTCGTCTTCAGCCTGTCTGTCCAGTTTTGCAACAGCAGCATGATTTCATTCTTCACTCTGTCTCAACACGGTGCACCCTCTGACTCCTCCTGATCAAGAAAGCATTGATTTATCACTGTCTTCCAAAGATGTTGGAAATGACAGTGTGTGTCAGTAGGACTAGTTTAATGATAGTACATTATAGGCATGACTCAGCAGTAGATTAACTCTCTTTTGGAATCTGCCCTGAGATGTCGTCTATCAAAAAGCTCAGCTAATTGTTTACATTGTCTCGATACCAAATCTCCTCACCTATCTGTAGCAGTGCATAAATCCAATTGACATGTCTCACAGTGTTGTGACATGCTAATGCTACTTAAAATGTATCTGTCATGTTTAGCAGTATGTCTGTGTGCAGATAGCCAGCCTTACGCACATGCCCAAAGGCTCTGTGTAGACAAAGCAAGAAGTAGAAGGTCAAAGCCTAATGGATTAAAGATCCCACATAGACAGTGGTTGTGGAGGATGGGTGCACATTTCCAAAGCTTTTAGAGGTCTGTGAGCTCTCGGCTAGTTCAAGTCTTCCCTCAACAGTCAGTGGTGATGACTGAAGTTCAGACACGGAAGTAGTGAGAGCTTTATCTTTGTGAAGCCTTAGGGAGAGAGAGCGCTAAATGGGTCCCTGGTCCTGATTCACTGTCTGCTGTGCATTCATACACTGTTCTATTGTGGCATTCATTTATTACCCCTCTGAGAAGAGCCTAGAAAGCAGAGGGATGGACAGAGAGGGAAAGTATTTTCATTATTATCTTGATAACAGGATAGATTTGATTCTCCACTGAGACAAGTGTGTTTTTATGTCACTTTTCCTGCTCTCTTTTCGTCTTTTCCTCTCCTCCGTCTCTCTCTCTGGCCTCAGGACAGCCTGTTAAATTCTCTGAGTGGCTGTCTCCTCTCAGGCTCAGAGGGTTTGTCAAACTGTGCGCTTACTCCATGTTGCCTCGGTGACGTACACAGTCTCCTCCCCTCCCCTGTGCTGATGCCTGCACACCCTGAGTACCAGGAGCTGCTAGATGATAAATTACAGTGCACCCCTTTAACACCTCCCCCCGCCTGTCAGCTACATATTGGTGTTATGCATCCACACAAACAAATAGCTGTGCAGAAATCAGCACAGTAATTTTAAATATATTAGACCCATGTGACTGCCGACTTAATAATACATTAGTTTCTTAATTGCTTGCTTCATTACCGCACTACACAGATGCTTTTAGATGTTTGCCTTATCATTTTCGCCAACAGACTGAGAGTTTTTATATATATTTTCTCTTTCAATTAGCCACTGGTTTTAATTGATGTCACTATTGTGTAGAGAAACTGGGCTTGTTTGATATAATTAATCAGGGTTGTCAGGTATTTGCTATAATTTGTCAAAGTTATATAATCACAGCAGGGTCATTCATTTTAAAGTAATTACCTTAGTGAAACACGTCGTAGAGTTGAAAGATGGTCGCCCAACAACAATCTTTTAAAGGCCTCATAGTGTTGTTCTCTATCTGCTTCCTACTGAGTGATATAGAAGATTGTTAGAGAATTTTGACAAAAAAACAGTTATGAATCAGTGATGTAAAGCATGGAAAGCCAAACGTTTTTATTCTTTATCTGGTAAGAGCCTTGCAGCTTTGTCTACTACTGTACACAGTGTCATATCAACCTGTGGGCAGTTGTCCCGTTCATTTAAATCAGCGAACAATCTGCATGCTGCAGTTAAAACAGTTCCTATGTAAAATTAATCAGCATCCTCCCAGTAATTAAACATCAGTGAAGCATTAGGGAGTGTTGAGCGCGACAGAGGAAGGCTTAAAGGCCAGACGTCAGATGAATAATTCTTTTCATGTTTTGCTCTGGGCAAACAGGAATATGACGGCTCTCTTATTAGGACACCTCATGTTTGAAGTACATCAGTCCTCTGGCTATGTTCTCCGTTTGGACTGGAGATATAGACTTAATAACATCTTCCCCCTGACTCCAGAGAATTTAAAGGAATCTAAATAAGGAACATCTGGATGAATAATAAATTGATTATGCTGGAAAACTGCTTATGAATCTGCTGGCACATACACCAAAAAACACACGTACAGTAGATACACACTGTTGACTGTTGGGATGAGTTTGTCTTAGCCGAACATGGAGTCACTGAAAAATAAATCGGTACCACTTTACAATAAGACTATACCCTTATAAAGGGTTTACGAATAGTTTGTAATTAATTAATTAATTAGGTTATGAACACTTTATAAGTCATTCATAAGGATAGGGAGGCTGTGGCGCTCCCCGTCGCCTGTGAGTCGAACTCATTCTTGGTAGCGACAGCCAATCACGTTCACGTCTGCTACCAAGATTCTACCAAGAATTGAGAGCTCTGGCCAATCAGCGCCCGTATTGCTACCAAGAATTGCCCCCGCAGCAACCAAGAATTGACCAATCAGCGTCTCCGTAGGCGGGCTATACTCTGCGGACGCCGCGAGAGAGAGATTCACTTTTTCCCAACATCACGAAAGTAAGTACA